AGGCTTCAGAAGAGAAGCATTAAGAGCATGGGCTTTGGGGTCTAGTACAGTTTTGAACATAAGCTTTTCCACATACTAGCTGTATAACCTTGGCAACTCATGGCCTCCACTCTAGAAATGAAATAATTGTGAATTAGATGATGCACACAAAGCATTCAGTAAGTGTCTAAGTGTTAAGTGCTCAATAAAGGGTACCCCAACACCAGGGTTTACATGGTCTAAAGCCAAACCTTTCAACTTAGTGGCCAAGAGCCCAGGATAGCCATTTTAAGCAAGTCTGCTTCTAGAGTTTGGTGCAGATACTGGGGCCTAGTAACTGAAGGGGCCTCAGTTGCTGGTACTGGCTCCCAGTTTCCCAGATACTCTGGCTGTGGAGAGAAGCCATTGTTCAACCAGGTCAGAGAAAGGCAGGGCCCAGAAACCAACCCGGTCTCCTCACACTATTTGTAACAAAATTCCCAGGGCTGAGCAGAAAGAAAACAGGACATGATTGGGAATTCACTCAAGAATGTTGTCTTTATTGAAGAATTTGTAAGAAAAAGGATGGACCCCCTGTACAAAGAGGAGATGTTGCCTCCAAACAGCAGGGAGGAAGGAGACCTGGGTGGCTTCCCAGAAGTCAGTGTTTCTGGCATGACTGGCTCTCCTTTCCCGGCAAGCACTACAGTGTGTCACACTACAGCTAACAATTCCTATCCACCCCTCCCAGCCCCTCCTCCCAACACCCTACAACCCCAGATTCCCTATAGCCATTTGGCAATGGGTCGCTAAAGGCCCAAGGATAGACGTGCCAGGCTTGTCTCTTAAAGGGGTCAAAATGGGTTTTGCTTTGAAAAATTCAAACAGGAATGTAAAATGGTTCAGCTCTTTCTGGTCCAACCAAGGAGGATTACCTCCACCCCTCTGAAGAGAAAGGAAACAAAGAATTTCCCTCCTGAACGTGTACATGTGGGGTAAAGGGACAATATCAGTCTGCTCTTTATTAGCATGGAGAATGGAAACAAACTTAGAGGAATATATAGCATCCATATTGAAGAGTCACTGAGTTCTGGAGGGCAGAGAAAGCACAGAGGCTTGCTGGTTCCACTAAGTGCTCCTGTTGGCTATCCTCAAGTCCTGGGGTGGTCATTCCTCTCCAGCTGGAAGATTGTCCTCAATCCGCCTGATGAACCTCATCCGGATTTCTGTCACACCATCTCCTTTCAGGGTGTCTTGGACAAACTTGGCCTCCACAGCCATCTGGACCTGGGGGACAGTGGAAAAAGGAAGGGCAGCTGCCCAGCCACAGCCTCTGGGGAGCCACTGAGGATAGGGCTATAACTAACAACAGCCCAAAAAGGGGGGCTGGTTTCCCACAAGGACAGGATTGTCAGTTCCAACATTCCCTTGCCCCAACCCATGACAAGAAACTTAAGCAAAGGACACCCAAGAGGGCAGCGCCTATGGCTCAGTGAGTAGGGTGCTGGCCCCATATACCAAGGGCGGTCTGTTCAAAACCGGCCCTGGCCAAACTGCAACAAAAAAATAGCCGGGTGTCATGGCAGGCTCCTATAGTCCCAGCTACTCAGGAGGCTGAGGCAAGAGAATCGCCAAAACCAGGAGTTGGAGGTTGCTGTGAGCTGTGATGCCATGCCACTCTACCAAGGGCAATAAAGTGAGACTCTTATCTCTTTAAAAAAAAAAGAACACCCAAGAATAAGACTATCACCAAACAATCTGAGAATAGATGTTCCTTGGGTTTGCAGACTGACAGCACCATCTCCCAGCCTAGCAGACAGGATCGTCATCATGTAGAGATGTCTGACTTGGATCCTGTCTCAGCAGCTCACCATCTCAGGCAGCAAAGCACTAGGGTGAGCCAAAGGCCTTTCTTTTCTATCTCTCATTCATTCATTTATCAAGCCCCTAACTACATTTCAGGTGTTCCAGAGGTAAAGAGATCCACTCACCATCTCTAAGGCTCCCCGCAACACCCCACACAAGAGATTGGAATAAATAAGGGATGAGTGGTTATCAGGAAGTTCCACAAAGTCCACCAAGGGGTTATTTTCCAAAATGAGGGAGAATTCGTCACCAGCTGGGCTCCAATTAGTAATGCTTGGAGTGATGCCCAGGTACATCTTGAACGCCACCTGTCAGGGGACATATAACAGCACTTTGGGGAAGAGCTGTAGGAACTGCACCACAGGGAAAATGACAGAACTGGCAAAGGGGAAATAAGTAACCCAGGAACCAAACCATGGCCTCTGTAAGATGATGAAGTTCCAGGGCAAAAAGGGAGATGCATCTATGTATGATAATGCACTCCTCTCCTTCAAACCATCATGCAATTAATCAACAACTGTTTGCCTATACTTCTCAGCAAAAAGGATCACTGATTTTCTGAGTGGTTGCCCCAAACCAGCACCTAAGTGCAAAGAGGCCCTGACCTGCTTCCCTGTCCTCTGTCTGTGCTTCCTGAATCCACTTTCTTAAAAGTGAATATAGGTCACTGGAGCAGAATTACTCTGAAGACATCCTTCCTTATCCACCTTTCTAATTGTAAACCCTCACAAAGCTCTCAGCACTGTCAACTTTCTTTAAAGATTGGGTGTGGCCCACATGCTTACAACACAAAGAACCAACCTTTAGGTAACTGACACCAGTTATATCATTTATTAATACATAATATAAAGCATTACATTAATAGCAAACCTTTACTATATGTACAGCACTACACTAAGTGCATTCATTTTACCTGAATGCTCATGTCCATTATTCATTTACTCCTTACAATAACCATGTGAGGTAGCAATTGTTTTCTTCATTTTAAAGATGAGGTGACTGGTTATTAAAGAAATGAAGAACCCAGACTAGTAAGTATTGGAGCCAGAATTTGAAGCAAGGTTTCTGAAACTGTATTCTCAATCCCTATACTACTCTGCTACACCTTCACAGTGGAAGAAATCTGCCTTTGATTTCAGTGGGGCTTTAGTCCACAGGTAGGATCCTAACATATCTCCCCTTTTTCATAATTGTTCTATTCTCTAACTACCAGGAAGGCTTCTTTGGCCTAAAGAGCTGCCTAATCAGTCTTCTGGGAAATTAAAGGCCTCTCTAAGGAAGACAGTCAGCAGTCTCTCCCAACAGCACAGACAGGTGTCCGAGGATAATGACCTTGGCAATGACATCTGCAGTTTCCCGAAAGTCATGGCACCTTCCAACATTTGACCGTGCCAAGAAATCTTCAATCAGTCGGACTCCAATATTATAGCCCCTGAGAAGGAAATTAAAAAATAGACCATGATGAGGCCTAAATGTCTTATGTCTAAACATAAAATAGGTCATTGGTGGTAAAAGAAAAATGGGGATCATCTCAAAACATATCAATAGGAGTGGCACCTATGGCTCAAAGGAGTAGGGCGCCGGCCCCATATGCTAGAAGTGGCAGGTTTAAACCTAGCCCGGATCAAAAACGGCAAAAAAAAAAAAAAAAAAAAAGTATCAATAAATGAGCTCAGTGAGAATTATACCCAAAACGTTGGCTAAGAAAGAGAGAGGACCCTCTTAGGGCTCTAAAGTACAAATATAGATGCAATGTACAGGGGCCTCAGTCATGTCACTCCTGCAAAAGAGCTCACTCACATTTTGTCCAGCTGTTTATTCACATCTTCATCATTTTCATAGTCCTTGCAAAGTTGTGTGACCAGAGCTCCATAGGTCAGAGTGAAGAGCTCAGAGCTCTAAAAGCAATATAAAAGAGAAAATGTGGTCACAGTCTGTCTCAGCCTTGATGCAACCATCAGGATTCAAAGGAAGGTCACCTGTGTCTGGAGAAAAAGAATATCATCCCTTGTGGAGTAACGAGGAAATGTGGTCCCCCAAGATCAATATGACAGGGCTGCAGCCAGGCCTACTGGCAGGGCTGTAATAGGTACCTTGTGCACTGAGCAATCACTCTCCAAGTGAGAAATCTACACCAAGGTGGATTTCTGCCAACCCAAGTTTCCACCACAGATGCCAAGACTAAAGCTCGGGTCACCAGAATCTGGTGTAGGAGCAGTAGTCATTCACTAGGTGTGAGAGACAGACCCAAAGTAGACATTTACAAACTAGCACTTGTGTGTTAGCAGGTGTGGCCAATGACATCCCCTGCTATAGAATGCCCTGGTGTAGCATTAAACTGCATTCCCAAGGCTTCACGTAAGAGCAGCAGAGGATCTAGAGGCCCAGTCCATGGGGAAAGAAGAAAATCCTAGACAAAGTTCATTGCACTGATGACAACCCCTCTCCAAAATCACCAGCATAAGAAAAAATAATATTCCTCTTGACACACAGTAAAAATACTTCCAGGAAAGAGGATGACCCTGAAAGGAATACAATCTTTTGTGTACTTGAAACACAATACCGACCTAAACTAGTTTCTGTTACAACCACTTTTAAAATCACAGAAACTTTACTCGGCACCTGTAGCTCAAGCAGCTAAGGCGTCAGCCACATACACCAGAGCTGGCAGGTTCGAATCCAGTCCAGGCCTGTCAAACAACAATGACAACTACAACCAAAAAATAGCTAGGCATTGTAACAGGCGCCTAGTAGCCCCAGCTACTTGGGAGGTTGAGGCAAGAGAATCGCTTACGCCCAAGAGTTGGAGGTTGCTATGAGCTGTGATGCCACAGTACTCTACTCAGGGCGACGGCTTGAGGCTCTGTCTCAAAAAAAAAAAAAAAAAAAAAACCCACAGGAATTCTTTCTCAGATAAAGAATCCTGTCACCTACCTACCAAGAAAGAGAATAAGATGTGGAAGGTAAAAGAAACTAATACAAAGACTACTGAGTAAAAGCAATAGGCAGAGAGGAAAGGCATTACCTATACCAAAGTGAGAAACATGGTAAAGTACATCTGGACCAATGTATTCACTCAGAAATAAGTCTGCAGAATCAAGACTGCCACCTAATGACTCCCTTCTGAGTGGAGGCTAGTCAGACTTGGAACACAGTAACAGTACTTTTCTTTTTTTTCTCAGACAGAGTTTCACTCCGTTGTCCAGGCTATAGTGCCATGGCATCAGCCTAGCTCACTGCAGCCTCAAACTCCTGGGTTCAAGTGGTTCTCCTGTCTCAGCCTCCCAAGTAACTGGGACTACAGCATCCTACCATAATGCCTGGCTAATTTTCCTATTGTTGGCAGAGATATAGTCTTCCTCTTGCTAGTCTCAAACTGGTCTGGTCTCCAACTCCTGAGCTCAAGTGATCTGCCCACCTTGGCCTCCCAGAGCGTTAGGATTACAGGTATGCACCACCACACCTGGTCAAAGTACCTTTTTGTCTTCAACTCTTCTGGGGAAGAAAGTCCAAGAAAGGTTAAGGCCCAGGCTCTCAGAACCCAGTGCTTTCCAGCTCATACCCATGGCCTGCAAGAATAACAATCTGAATGCCTTTTGTTTACATACCTCATTCTTCATTTTCCATCTCGTAACTCAGTGAAGCAGAAAGGGAAGGAATTAATCCCACTTTAGAAATGAGAAAAGAGAAACCCACAATGGTTAAATAATTTGCTAATTATTGACAGAAAGTCCAGCCTGGGCAAGGGCAAGAGCCCATCTCCACTAAAAAAAAACAAAACATAAAATAAAAATAGAAAAAACTAGCTTGTGTTGTGGTAAGCACCTGTAGGCCCAGCTACCCAGGAGGCTGAGGCAAGGAGATCAATTTCCTGAGCCCAGAAGTAGGAATTTGAGGTTTCTGTGAGCAAAGATGCCAAGGCACTCTACCCAGGGTGACAGAGTGAGACTCTCTTAAAAAAAAGACAAAAAAGGGGGTGGCGCCTGTGGCTCAAAGGAGTAGGGCACCGGCCTCATCCAAAAACTGAAAAAAAAAAAAGACAAAAAGCAATTTTGGGGGACAAAAACCAAAGGTTTTAAAGCCAATGGTCATTTTATCCAATGTTCCCCACAATAGTGTATGAATAAGCCCCCCTCATAAAAACAGAAACAAAAAGAAAAAATTCCTCCCAAATTTAGCTGCACTAGAGTAAAAGAAAATCAGTTTCAGAAGGCCCTTTGAACTCAACTAAAACAGTCACCTCAGGTTGTCTCTGAGAGACTATTTACCAAATATGGCAATTAAGGGGAAGCTATTAAGGAGAGGAATTATTTTTTAGTCAAGTCAAGGGCTTGGCACTAGAATACCTTGGGTATGAATGGATGGAGACAATCCAGCAGTTACCAGTCCAGGGAGTTGGCATCACTGCATTAAATCAGGAGAATTTTCTTTCCATTATTAATGAGCTCTGGGATGGAGACTCCAAGAGCCTCAGCCCACCACGATGCCAAATAACATGCAAATCATGATGTTATCAAGCACCTTATACATGCAGCCGCTCTCAATTTACCAATAAGAAAAATCAAGGTCCCAGACAGATTTGTTAATGGTCCGGGAATCAATTTGCTTGGGATCTGGGAATGGGATCCCTGACCCAGGCTCTCCTCATCCTCTCTTAATCTGCGAGTCTGTTTCCATCTTCCGTATAACCCAAGCCTATTTGGAACAGTGAGCAATATAAATATGTAACTTAAATGTCTTCAAACTTTATTAAAAATAGAAGGGGGCGGTTGGTGCCTGTGGCTCAAAAGAGTAGGGCGCCGGCCCCATATACCAGAGGTCGTGGGTTCAAACCCAGCCCACACCAAAAACTGCAAAAATTAAAAATAAACACCACTATCACTGAAACTTTGGGAAATCTTTCTTGTGGTTCCCCCATGCACATGGTATTTGGAAATAAACCTTTCTCTTATTAATCGACCATAAAAAAAAAAAAACAATAGAAGTGGGGGACCAGGCACGGTGGCTCATGCCTGTAATCCCAGCACTCTGGGAGGCCAAGGTAGGTGTACTGCTTGAGCTCAGGAGTCCAAGACCAGCCTGAACAAGAGTGAGACCCTGTGTCTAAAAACAGCTGGTATTGTACTGGGGACCTGTAGTCCCAAATACTTAAGAGGCTGAGATATAGGATCACTTGAGCCTAAGAGTTTTAGGTTGCTGTGAACTATGATGCCATGGCACTCTACCCTAGGCAACAGAGTGAGACTCTGTCTCAAAAAAAAAAAAAAGTTAACAGTAAAATCTGTCATGCCAATCACAAGGATGTCAGGAGGATCTAATGAGATAATGGATCCAAAGATGCTTTGTAGGCAAGAAACCATAGAATTACAGCAGCTACATCAACATGATCTATCTCCAAGTACTTTAGGCACAGAAAATTAAATCACACTCTCCACTCAGGTGAACCACCACTCCACAGCTTTCCGAATGCCTTTCAGATAGTGCCCCAAATAAAACATTAAATCTCCTTAAAAGGTGATCTTTAGAGTTAATGCTCCAAGACTCATACAGTTTTTGTCAAAGCACATAATTGCATGTGAATAACCTCTAGCACAGTGCTTCTCAACCTTCCTAATGCTGCAACCCTTTAATAGTTCCCCATGTTGGCTCGGCGCCTATAGCTCAACCGGCTAAGGC